AAATAAATAAAAATGCCACAACTACATTCATATATACATCAAAAACCAGCAACAATATTGGCACAAAAACATCGTCCAGAAGTACACAGGACAGGTATCTTTAGCCATAAAAAATTTGGTGTGTCCGCGTTACCACTACCACCCATTTGTTGAAGTTTGACTTGCTCTGTCAAGGATGCTCTACCATCAGGGATAGAAGGAGCTGGTCCATCCTTCTGTCCAACAAGTTGCTGCTTAACCCCGGGAGTTGGCATGAAGTGAAAATTGCGAACTTCATCATGTGCTTGGCTTGAACTAGATCTATTTCCTCGGTCAGGAATCAGTTTTCCCTGTCAACACAAAAAATAACAACACTTCATCCCTTGCTTATGTTCAAAAATAACAACACTAGCCCTTATAAATACTTACATCTCTTGTTACGTCCTGCGAAGCGTGCTTGCCTGTGTTGATTGGCTCTAAATGTCCCTCGTACCAGTTCTGGAGATGGGAAAGAAACGATAAGTCCATATTTTAAATTAAAATTAACAATAAAAATTCAATTAACTACTTATGTCAAAAGGTGCATCAGGTCTAGAATGATATCTTTTGTTGTGGCCCTTTTAGCTACATATTGAACATGTCATCGATACTCTTCCTTTTTTCCTGACATGCGAGTTTCCCTAGGAGGTTACTATAACTTCTTCATCCGCTTGCCTTTTCCTCTTCTTTTGCTTTCTACCCCTTTGCGGAGTGATCCATGATGGTGGCATGATTGGAAGAGTGTCTAACTAGGGCCACAATCGTATACCATTGATGGGATTCATAATGTTATCGTAGCATTGTAAATATGTATCCACTGTATAGCACTTGTCAACGTATTCCTTAGGATCATTTCTACACTCCCGTATGACGGCCAAGGCATGGGCACATGGTATTCCTGTCAAATCACACCTCCTACATGCACAACTCCGTTCTTCCAAGTCAACGACATATGAATCTGACTTACAACCCACTTGCCATCTAGGCCCTCCTGAGAAATGCAATGAGCATTCATTTGACAACTCAGATACCTTTGCAAGCCTTTTCTTAATTCTTCAACATAATCGCCCTCCACACACCCTCATCTTACTTCGACGCTTCTCACTTCTAGTCATAAATCCCAACTGCATATCTCTCAACATAGCTACAATCAACTTCTCCATTTCATCAATCAGCATCTTACTGAAAACTTCACACAAGTTGTTCAACAATGTATCGCTCTTCGAACGTGTCCTGAAATGAGATCTACTCCATTCCGAAGGATGCTTCTCCATCAACCATTTATAAGCAGCTTCATGAAGCTAGCGAATTTATTCCATCCACCGTTTGACTTAGCGGCCCGCCAAAGTATGTCCTTCAAAGTCTTACCCTTAAATTCCTTATTGAAAAAGTTTGTATACATGTGTCTCACACAAAACTTATTTTCTGCCTCCGAAAATAACTCATCAATCACATTACTCAAGCCCTTTTGCCTATCAATCATCATAGTCCAGTCATGGCCATTTTCCATCCGAATATCCTCCACCAAATATTTAAAAAACCATCTCCATGTAATCGTGTTCTCTTTCTGGACAACGACATAAGCAACTGGATAAATACAGTCATTTGCAACTAGGCCAATTGCAGTGAGCAGTATACCACCCCAAACAACACAGAGATGGCACCCGTCTACTCCAATGAATTTTCTACACCCATGTTGAAATCCTAATTTGCAAGCATTGAAACATACATATATACCTTGAAAAACCTGTCCACTAAATGTTATCATCACTGTGGATCCTGGATTGGTCCTCAAGACCTCTGCCGTATAAGACCTTAATGAGCCAAACTGTTCTTCGATAGTCTCGTTGATGAATTGTTTCGCATATCTTCTTGCCTTCCAAGCTACATTTCTAGTAATATTTATCTTCAAGTCCTCCTTCACTGTAGCCTACATACTCTTCTTTTTCACTCTGGATCTGCCTCGAATTGCTCAATGTAGCGATGAACTATGAACACGTAGTTACAATGACGATTGTATTGGTCCCTACTACATGTGTGTTGAGGCGTATATGACTTCACTTGAACTGTGTCCAAATTATTCATCTTAGAAGCCCATATTTTCCATTGGCAGTCTGATTTATAGATGGCTTGAACTCTTACTCCGTCATTCACCTTACACTTTACATTATATTCGTTTACTGTACCATAAGTTCGAATTGCC